TTCCTGGTCTACCTCTTGACCTCTTAGTAACATGTTCAAGAAGCTGGTCAGGGACTTTTTTGCACTTTGTTTTTGTGTGTCCCTTTAAGTGACAATTACTACAATGCATCTCTCTTCCATGCCTAGTTAGCTTCCCATATTTTTTGGATCCCCATAAGGATCTTTTTTTCTTTTTTTTCTGAGGTCTGCCAGACCCTTTTTAATGGGAGGGGGTTCAAGTAAAATTTCAGAAGTTGGCCAATATCTTTCACCCTCTAATGGAGCAATCATCCCATTATAGCTTTGTAAGTAGGCTGCTTTCTTGTAAAAAGGATGTATAAAGTCTTCAGCTTTCTTTCTCATGAAAAATATGTCGGATATTGCATGACAACATGGGATGCCAGTGAGATCCCATTTTCTACATGTGCACATTTTTTTTTCAAATCAACAACTACTTCATCTAGGATATGTCTTACTTGAAACCGTGTCATTGTTGAAGGGGTTGGAAAACAGTTAATACTTTCATCCTTTGCCCTTTCCAATTTAGCAGCTATCCTAGGACATATATCATTACCAATTGCTTCTATCCATTGCCTTTTTAGTACAAGTCTTTCCATTAAGGCAGTCCTAATATCTTCCAACATGTAGATAACATGTTTAGATCTTGTTTCAATGATGTATCCATTGAAAGTTTCTGCCATGTTATTAACAACCAAATCACACTTTGTGTGTGTGTTAAGAAAAGCGCGGCAGAACATCTTAGGATTCTGAGCTATAAAAGCTTCAGCGGCTGGTTTAGATATCTTCCCTATTTTTGCTAAAGCCTCACTATAACCTAACTGATTATATGATCTCACAGCTTCCCAGAAATAACCCTTTATCTCATCACCTTTAAATTTAGAGTGCCAGTTCTTAAATATGTGCCTAGCACAATTTCTATGTTCAGCAAAAGGTAGAACTTTTGCAACAGCATTTATAAGACCCTGCAAAAATGTTTATTATATTTGGTTAATTTCTTTACATATCACATTCATTAGAGTAAAACTAGAAAGATAGGTACCTTTTGCTGGTCAGATATAAATGTCCAACCTTCACCGTTTGTTGTCTCCAAACAAAATTGTAACTTGGATAAAAACCACTCCCAGGAGCTATTATTTACACCCTCTACCGCTGCCCAAGCTAAGGGAAACATTTGATTGTTCCCATCTCTACCGACAGCAACTAGAAACATACCACCCAGAAAAGTTTTCAAAAAGAAGCCATCCAAACATAACACCCGTCTGCAACTGCTTAAAAGACCACTTTTCAACCCATCAAAGCATATAAACAACCTCTGAAAAATCAAAGGATTTGTTGTCACTATGGGATCAGTGAATATGTCAAAGAAAGATTCAGGATTTGCCTTCCTCAAAGCCATTAGATAGCTGCCCACCTTAGCATAGTGGTCCTTCATTGAACCATGTAAGAGTTTGTTAGCTTCATACTTGATTTTATAGGCTAACTTTCTCTTGATAATCACTTTCCACTTCTTCTTGACGGCTTCAACAATATCCTTCCCAGGCCAGTGTGGTGTTGCTTTGAATACTTCTAACAAATTCTTAGTCATCCACTTTGACTTAAGTTGTATATTTCTACTCATGTCTCTATAGCAGTTGTGGTTATTGTTCACTGACTTCACAATAAAACAGTTTTTTTATAGTCCCAAGAACCATAAAGAAAAAACTTACAGCCTGCTACACATTTCACACCTAATCTTTGACTCCTATTCTGGTCACTAATAATGTAAGTCAAGTTTCTTCCTTGAGCAACTGCATACCTAGTCACAGCCTCTCTAAATATTTCTCTGTTAGCAGACCTTATCCCTACACATCATTTGAGGTTGCAGAAATCAGTAGATTCATTCACGATTGGAGCTTTATTCTTCCTTTTCTTTCCTAAAATATCATCTTCTTCACTCTCTCCCGGGGAATCAACATCACCCTCAATGTCTTCATACTCCGAAACATATTTATCTGCTTCTTTATCCAGAACTGCTAAATGTTCTTTTTCTTCATGACATGTACCCTCTTCCATCTGAATAAGAGCTTCATCAACTTCTCCCGCTGTTTTCAGATTCCACTTATGTACTCTCTCTATAGCTTCAATCCATTCTTCATCACTTGTATCACTTTTTTCTCCATGAAGCGGCTCCATATAAGGGTGCTCAGGCTGTTCATAGTCTTCATCAAACATTGGATTTTGTTCTCCTCCTTCTAACATGTCATATTCCTCAACATTCTTGTGCAGAATATATATGTCAACTGCTCCAGCTTTCATGCCCAATCTTCCTATTTCTATTACATCATTATCACCAGTAATCTTATGAAAGGTTGCATGCAACTCCTCCCCAGGAATATGGTAATATAGCTCAGCGATTTCATCATGGATTCCTATCTCATTTGGTAGAGTGAAAAGCCACCAAAAATCCAATTTATCAGGATCTATATTACCAACAACAGTTTCTTCCCCCCAATATATTGGATGTGAGGGGTTTTCTTGAACTCCCCTCCATGATGATAGTTCAGTTTAAACAAATCCATACCTGCAAACTGTTAATCTCTCATAAATAAATGTGATTGAAGATTGTTTGATCATTTAAGAAGATGCCTACAAAGTGTTAAAATGTGATTGAACATTGTTTGATCCTTTAAGAAGATATGCAGACTAATAATGAAGCTAAGAACAATCCCAACTTACCCATGAGAAGTGATATGTCGGCCTATATATCAATCTACTTCCTTAATTATAAAATGTTACTATCATTAGATTATTATGAATAATAATTGTATTATGAATAATAATTGTCTGCTTTGGTTTGATGTAAAAATTTGTGGATATGTATATACATATACACCATTGAAAGCTTTTATTCCTGATTAATGGACACATACTCATATATAATATATATTAAATATACTTGATCATGATTTGATCACAAGTACTCCCAAATTCAAAATCACCGTATTTGGATAAACAATATTTGTGCCTTTTCACTACGCTTCAAATCACTAAACAACCAAAGTATATTTCAAAAAAAGGAAAAAAAAATAAACAACCAACAAAGCATCATAGACGAACACACTTCTACTAATGAACAAATTGAACAAAACTACAAACGGACATCATATACGTAATAATCATTAAATTAAATCGATCACCTTAACCCTAATAGTAATTTCTAGTCCGTCTATTGTGAAAAAATCAAAATATTACATACCCAGTACTGACCCTATCTTCGACGGCTATTTCATTTCAGCGACATGATATGTCCAGATGAAGTGTTGATTGAGATAAGATTAATATGTAAAGAAGAAAAAAGATTTTTTAAGAACAGAGATGGAAGAGAGGAAGAGGAACTTGAGCGGGAGATGAAGAGAACGTATGGGAGGTGGGTTGGGATGATGTTTGAAACGGAATAGTTAACCCCGTTTCATTTAATTTATTTTTATGAACAAGTTTACATGTTTGGATTATTTTTATTAATTCATTCAGTATGGATTATTAATGTAGAATCATTAAAAGTAGGGATTATTTGTATGAATTTCTCTAATAAAAAATTCATTTGGGAATGTGATCGAAATTGGTATCACTACCTAAAAACCCGAAAGCTAGGCTAGGCCTGATTGAATTCATGTTGAACCTCATTCATGTTGAAATGAAGCCAAATCTGATTTCGAGGAATGCGTCGAGAGGCAGCCAATGGGAGGGATATATAGTTCCCGAAATCACAGCCCTTGATGCGGCTCTGAGTGGAGGAAAACAATGATAAGGACGTGGTTGGGAGTAGCAACGGGAGAGGTGTAATTGTGTAAACAATCAAAAAAGAGATTGATAAATTAGTGTTTTCATATGTATTTATGTATTTATAAATTTGATAATCGAAGAAGTATTGAAGGGTTGAATCCACTATAGAGAATAACGACTAGCTATAACAAATACACCTTGTATTGGGCAAGCCAAATAAGTTCGAAATGTGCTAAAATACTTAAAATACAGCTCGACTATTAAATGATATGATAAAGAATAAGAGAAATTTAAATTAAATGATATGATAAAGAATAAGAGAAATTTAAATGGAGAAATATATGATAAGGGAGAGACCAAAAAGAAAATCATTATAAATTACAGGAAAAAAATTGTAAGATTGTATAACAAGAATCACTAAATATACCCTAAAAAAACCATCACTAAATATAATTAGACCAAAACATACTCTGTATGATGCACGGAGAATGAAAGTTTAAAGTTTAATACATGATGGAGTCATAAATTACTTCATTCAAATTAAGAATTAAAAGGGATCATTCTCGAAATATGAGTAAAAATGTTCGAAATTTTAAAAATAGGACTGTCATGTTTTTATTCCATAAATATGATTATTTACGACACACTTAGAAAATACTGTGAAGTTGCATGTTACTGCCAAAACATGGCAGTAATTACTCCTATTTTGAGAATAAAAATTTTAAGAATAAAAATACAAGAATTTTATTTTGGAATACAGAAACGTTTTTAGTCTTATTTATGACAATTTCCCTTAATACTCTCTAAGTCTCTATCTCATTTTTGGGTATAAGGTTGGGGATAATTGTTATACAATAGAATCGGCGCTCGGTGCACACGGTAAGTGTGAGTGAGTTTTGTGTAACTGATGTTCGTACATAAATGTTTAATGTAATTCATGTTATACTTTTGTGTAACTAATACTATACTCCGTATTTTTTATATAAATTCCTTTAAAAAATGTAAAAAAGAATGAAAAATGGGTAAGAGTTTTAAATACAATTTGTTAATCTTTGGTGTAAATTTCATAAATTACAATGTACGGAGTAAATGATATTATCAATGTTTGAAAAATATGTGATTAACTTGTAAATATAACACGGAGTATTATTTATTGATGCACATATTCAATATTTGTTATAAATTGCGCTATTCAAAGTATAAACCGCGTGAATTCCTAACTATACAGGTCCGCTAATGGAGCTTCTCTCTCTAGAAACTGCCGCCGCCTAGGGTTACCCTTACGTTAACGCCTAGTTTTCGGTTTTCTCCGCCGCCGATGGCTTGCCGTTTGGGGGCGTGGCTTTCGATTTTCGGGCTCCTTTGTGGAGTTTCGGTCTCGGTTTTCTCCTTCTTCAAGTATCGGGTGTTGAGCTTTGGCATTTGGAAGTTTTCGGCAGTCTCGAGGCGTCGAGTTTGAGCATGGAAGAAGATGGTTCGAGTCTTCGGTGTTTCCGTTGAACACGAGGCGACAAACTCGGGCAGTATAAAAGGCAGCAAAGGTGGGATGGAAGGATTTGTGGACAAATACAAACAGGTGGCGATCGGAACGGAGGAAGAGGAGTTGGACCTGAATGGGGGAGATGCAGAGGAGAGTCCGGTGGAGGAACAAAGCTCGGGATTTCCGGTAGTGGGGGTGCTGCTAACAGATAGGGAGGTTAAATTTTCAGCCCTCAAGGAACTCATGTTGTCACTATGGCGGCCAGGAAAAGGTATGTCGTTCAAAGAATTGGGCGAAAAGAGGTACCTCTTTACTTTCAATCATCGTTTTGAACTTTTGATATGAATCGTGTTCTTGAGGGAGGCCCTTGGCAATTTGAGCGTAATCTGTTGTTGTTGAAAGAGGTAAAACCTGATGATATTCCACATAAGATTGTGTTAAATGAGGCTGATTTTTGGGTCCAAATTCATAATGTTCCCTATAGTTTGGTGAATTTAGGTACTGCAAGAAGGGTGAGAAATTTTATTGCAAAATTTATTAATTATGATGATAATCAGAAAAGGGAGAAGCTTGAGCCGTGTATGAGAATATGGGTGTGTATGAACGTTGATAGACCTATGAAAAAGGGTACTGATCTGAAAAAAGAAGGAAAAAACTTTTGGGTGGATTTGAAGTATGAGAAATTGCCCAATTTCTGTTGTATATGTGGGTTAATAGGGCATTCAAGTAAATTTTTCCCTTTAAATTACGAAGACGATCTTGTTCTGAAAAACCGTTTTGGGGTTCAACTTAGTGCATGAATTGGGGTGAAGACAAGTCCCACAGGAGGAAACAAGTGGATGTGGGAGGATTCATCGAGCTATGGCAGGGACCACAGATATATGGGGGAATTCAAGTCTGCTTATAGGCAGGATGGAGGGAAGAAAGAGTCTATATCAGGATAAGCGCAGAGCATTACTAAAGGCGTGGAAACAAAAGAAGAAACTTTAGGGGAACAAAAGAGAAGAAGGATATGGGAAAACCGGGGAAAGAAAAGAATGGTGAGGATAACATGGCACTGGGTAGGACAAAAAACGGGACAGGGCGGACTTCGGTCTGTAAGTCCGCCACAACAGCTTCTGACATATTCGACATGGAAGATAAGGGTGCTCGTGTGGCTTGGCAGTCTCAGGCAGAATTTTAAATTTATTTGCTTTATTTTTTTCTTTAGCGACAATTACTTTTGTGTTATGTTTTGTTTGACTTTTGTTATTTCTTGTTTGTAAGACGATGGTTTTGGATAGGGGTGATGGTTTTGTAACCGTCTTTGGCTTATTTGTGCCCATCAATGGATCAACGAATTATATTGCTTCTATGGAGGTGATTAATTATGAGTCTGGTTCGCGGGACGACGGTTGACCGAAATCTTTTTGTCAAATTACCTACTATTTGATGATGTGTTATCAATTTAAGCCTACTTCTGTCAAAAAGAAAAAGTATAAACCGCGTGTGTTAATTGTGTAACTCACGTTATACAAAATGCAAAGTAAATATGCAAGTCACGTTATACAAATGTAAATTATGTGTATCGAATATAAAATAATCATGTTATACAAAAATCTAAATTCATTGTGCTAAATGTCAAATATGTAAGTGTAACATATTTTCTTACATGCATAGTTTAAGAAACACGATAAGATTTGTCGAACTTCAAATGTGAATTACATGAAGTGAAAACACATAAGATAGAATTTGGTGAAACATTACAGACTTTCAAATAGACAACTTTATGAAGTGAAAAGACCCAAGTTCTAAGTATAATGATGATAAAAATACTCGATAAATGAATATTATCCATGAGATAGAAGGAAGATAACAAAGAAAGTGAGCCGCATGCACCAGCAGCGGCAGTGCGAGAATTTCATTCATTGTTGTGGCTCCATGTGTGCACCAGCCCCTGAACCAATCATCTCACTCAAAAACTGTTTGAGATCATACCGTAACTTACGCATCTGTCATTTTGTTGGGTCGGGATGTGAGGTCGCTTGAAGTGAGAGATTCCACCTTTCGAATAGTAGTGAAAGTGAAGAAAGAGGGCAAAAGAAACCACACTATAATAAATCTATTTTCTTAAATACGTAGCAAGAATTAAGAAATATGACACCATAGTGAGACTGGTGCATCTTGAATTCGTGATCATGGTATAAGGATATAAATCAGTAAATGTATAAATTAATTTGCAGATTGGAGAAGAAGGGAGGGGATATTTGATTTGCATTTAAATAAAATAGGTGAAGTGTTTTTAACTTCTCCATTTCGTTTTTGTCAAGAAAAAAAACTTCTCCATTTCGTTTGTTAAGAGAGAGCTTTCGTTTTAACAGATTTCCCGCGAGATACAAGGCTTTCTTCCATGGCGATCTTGTGGTAATTGCGTCTACTTTTTTATACCCTGGCCTGCAGTAATCATTCAACATTCAAGTTGATAGCCGAAAAAGAATGAATAACTGAAAAAGTTCCCTCTCTCTCGCACCCGGATCTGATGCTTCACGTCGCACGTTAAGCAGTGCGTCTGTCGCCGTTGGATATAATCTGGCCCACCTTGGCGCGTGGGACCCGCCGCTATCGGACGGCCTTCGCTCCAGCCGGACAACGCATAAAGCGGTCTTCTTCTTCTTCAACCAAGCGCACTAAGCTTCTTCTTTTTAACCTTTTTCTGATTTTCAATGTACAAAACTGTGATTGAAGAAAGTAACTGAACTGGATGAGAGTTTGAGTTAGCACGGTAGACGCATCGTTTTGCTCGCTAGTTCTCTGCTCGGCCGATTCTGTTGATGCGGCCTGAGGCGCTTTTTGCTTCAGGTGAGTGAGTCTCTTTATCGTTCTCCTTCTGTTAAGTAAAGTTTAAGTTAATACTGCCTGATATTCGTCGTAAAATCAGCATATTCTGTTGAGTTTATTTCCCCATTTCGTTGAGAATCTCTGCAGTTCTGGATCAGTTGATGTGTAGAATTAGGGGTTTCACGACTGGATTTGGATAAAATGAAGAAGGAAATAGAGCTTCGTTCTTTTACTTACTGTTCTGCTTCATTGGCAATTTTCAGATTTCTGATTTGCAGCAAGCGGGGATTCAATTGATGACCAAGATAGTTGCTTCTGAGGAAAATCAAGTATTAGTGTGTGCGTACTTTGAGCAGTGCGTGGTAAAATTATTCAGTAAATTGAGGAAAGGGGCGAGTTTGTTGGATGGAGACTGCTAAGCGATGGTTCAGTAAGTTCAGGCTTAAAGAAAAGTCAAAACCTTCCACTAAGAAGGAAAGCACAACTAATGGGAAGGAATGCTCCAGAACTGCTGTCAATGATGAAGTACCGCCATCGAATGCCACTAAGCAAAAGGTTGCTGCTGCAAAGCAGTATATAGAAAAACATTACAAGGAGCAAATGAAGAGCCTGCAAGAGCGCAGGGAACGGTATAATTATAGTCTTCTAAGTAATTTTGTCACATTTTAGCATTCTCACCTGCCTCGAGCAAATGCAGAAACTTGGTTTGCCCCTGTTGCTCTAAAGCACCATTTTGTAAAGCGTTATAGTTTAATGTTCTTTTTGGAGAATAGTTTAATGTTTTTTAAGAAACTAGAATATTAACTATTTGCTAATTCTACTTTCTATTGATGAACTTCAATTAATATCCTCTTTGGCATTGCTATCTGGGCAAAAGTGGGACTGATATAGGTGGAGTGTTATTTCGAGACTTCCAAATGATCAGTGTGAATTGTTTTTAAAATGTAATTCAATGAATCAAAAGCATTTTCATCCCATTATATGGATAAGAAGTCTGAAGACATATGGCCTTGTTTGGTTGGTGGATATCTGAGGGTAGGGAAGGGGGGGCATTGGGTATGATATTCATTTTATTAATTTATTCTTACATCTAGATTTGCCTCCAATATCATGTATTTCAACATTTAGAAGAATTGGAATATGAAATTTAATATAACATACTTGAGTTAACTACACATAGTTAATTTTTTAGTCTAAGAAAAAATAGAGATAAATTTGTGTAACTAAAACCATTCCTCCCTTTCCTTTCCCTCATAAATCCTAACAAACAAGCCCCACGTGTTCTAGAGTTCATATTTATATTTTACAGTTTTGTTGCCTTTAACATCTTACATTTCTCAAGTCAGCTTCTAGAGGTCTAGTCTCCTTGAACATTAGGAAATGCAATGATGTTTTTGTGAGGCAGCAACAAATTTGCAAGAAAGTTTGAGACTTTACTAAACATGATGGTGGCTAATTACTTCGAAAACAAAAAACTAAACATGATGTGATGTATTTCTGCAATATGTTGCAGACGTAACATGCTGGAAAAAAAACTAGCTAATGCTGAGGTTTCTGAGGAGGAGCAAAACAATATCCTGAAGTGCCTTGAAAAAAAGGAGACAGAATTTATGCGCCTTCAAAGGCATAAAATGGGTGCTGATGACTTTGAGCCATTAACAATGATAGGAAAGGGTGCATTTGGCGAGGTATGGACCTATCCATGTTTTAAAATTTATTTCAGCTTAGCAAAATGAATGTATGAAATTATATATATGTAAACTCTGCTGGTCCTTCCAAGGCAATCTGACTTGCAGATACCTAGAGCCCTGTAATTTCTTGTAATATTTTTAATTGTTTAAAACAGTAAATTGTGTGATCAAAAGATTTTATGATTTTATCAACAAACCATGACTCGGTCTTTAAATTGAGTGCGTCCTTGCTTTATGTGCTCTCTTCACGGACTTCACCATACATGTGAAAAAAAACATTCTTTATCATGCACAATTACATAAATCCACATAGCACCGGCAATTAAGGAAAATTGCTGCTTAATGGTGCATAAATCGTTAAAGTCGATACTTCTTAGTATGAAACCGGTGTTTGACTTGCCATGGAAAGCTACTTTTGCCATCTTAATTTTGGAGTTTGTGAGACAAACTTCACTCACACAACAATGCCTTCATCTAGGCAGCAAGTTATATGTCTATAAATTTTTGGACAATTACTTTCTTATTTGCTGTAATGTTATATCTCCTAAATCTATACTCTTTAAGATTTCAGACCCGCCAAACCATTGATGATTCATTAGTTTTCAGTTTCTCTGCAAACATTCTACAAGTTTGAATGAAAAAACTATGTCAAATTATGTTAGACAGTAGGAATTAGTCCCTGGGTAGTGGTAGTTACAAAGTTTTTGAAATGTTGTCCGTGATTCTGCGTCTATAAGAAGTGATTTTTTATCAGGCTGACTAGTAATACGGGATTCTTGAAAATTTGCTAATATGGAGGTTTTGTTCTATAATTGGTCTGCGTAATTGAAATATACCGATGTATGTTTTATTTCAGGTTAGAATATGCAGGGAGAAGACAACTGGCCACATCTATGCCATGAAAAAGCTCAAAAAATCTGAAATGCTTCGTAGAGGCCAGGTGAAATAATAATTTTTTCTTACCAAATTGCCAAATGAATGTATGGAGAGTTTTTTTTTATGCTTAATCTGTATACCCAACTCCATTTCCAGGTTGAACACGTCAAGGCAGAAAGGAATCTACTTGCAGAGGTTGACAGTAATTGCATTGTCAAGCTGTACTGTTCTTTCCAAGATGATGAGTATCTATATCTAATCATGGAATATCTTCCTGGAGGTGATATGATGACTTTATTGATGCGTAAGGATACACTAACTGAAGATGAGGCAAGATTTTATGTTGGGGAAACAGTCCTTGCCGTAGAATCTATCCATAAGCACAATTATATTCACAGGTGGGTGTAATTTCCTTTTGTTCATCTGATAGGATGTCACATCCTATTTTATGATATTGTTGTTTACTGTGTTTCAAGAGGAATTATCAATATGTTTTTCTTTTGCATCCTTTCAAAATTTTGCAGAGATATAAAGCCTGATAACTTGCTTCTTGATAGAAACGGTCACATGAAATTGTCTGACTTTGGATTATGTAAACCATTGGACTGTAGTAATCTTCATGAGAAAGATTTTACCATGAGAAATGACTATAGTGGTGCTCTTCAAAGTGATGGGCGTTCTGGGCCTCCAAAGCGCAGTCAGCAAGAGCAACTGCAGCATTGGCAGAAGAACAGGAGAATGCTTGTCAGTTTTCTACTATGCCTAACCTTTTTTACTAGCCTCCACCAAACACTACCTTTCACTTTGTGTGGGGCCAGATGATCGGAGTTAAAGTCATATTCACTTCTTGACTTCTTCGCATTTCGCTGGTCATATTCCATTATTTGCATGTTTGTTTTACATTATTAATAATGTAATGAGACATGATTATAGTAATTATATCAATTTATAGCCGCCTCATGATTTTTTCAACTAACTGGGAAGAATTTATGATGTTGATGCTTAAGAATTTTCCTCAGCTGTTGTAAAGTTTTTCCACAAAGTTTTTTCCTGCACTTGTACTCTTATAGTGTTCATTAATTCTTAAAAAGGAATGGGCACTATAAATTACATGCCTACTAACCCCAACGTTGTTGGGATTAAGTTGATGATGACTTCTTGGCTATTTTTTACACAAGAGTTTTGACTATCTTGAATAAGCTCTGTTAATTGTTATTGCAACTCCCTTAGGTTTTGGACTCTACATAGCCAAAACAGGATCCCTAATCATTGGTGGTGCTTGCTTTTAGAGTGTTAGGTTACTAGTTACTTGATAGAATATAAGAATTGTATTACCTTTTGCATTTTTAAAAGGCTAACTATGACCATGTAGGAATTTGATAAGTAATATTTTTAATGGTGTAGGCTTATTCCACTGTTGGAACACCTGATTATATTGCGCCCGAGGTTTTATTAAAGAAAGGCTATGGAATGGAATGTGACTGGTGTGTATCTTGAATATATGTTCTCTTTTCTTTGAGTTGTTTTTCAATGCTTGAGTTAATTTATTTTGGATATTTCAGGTGGTCACTTGGGGCAATTATGTATGAAATGCTGGTGGGATATCCGCCTTTCTATTCAGATGAGCCCATGTCTACTTGTAGAAAGGTAAAAAACAACATTGGCCATTGAACTTTTATGCATTAAATAACATCTCTGCGAATTTTATGCTATGAGGAAAAGTAGGGTTTATATTTTTATCATGGGACCCAGTAGGATGTGGGGATTTTGTATTTTTTTTATCATAAGTTGTGTATATTTGTTAATAGAATGAGATTCCGCAGAAGTTAGGGTTTGTCTTTTGCTGGGGATGGCGTCTCGCCGTCTCTGTATCAAGTGAGGTTCCTTACAGATGCTCTTCGTTACATAAGTAAAAAAATAGTCTGGAGCTGTATGGAGTAACTCGGGTGTACAAAAATGCTAATTGTGGATTATTTTAGCGCATATCATTTTGTTGCTGACTTACTGAAATAGTGGAAAGAGATTTTGAATGCTCTTCAGAAGCTTCTGCTGCAACATACTCCGTATAAAATTTACTTCTGATTTCAATGTTTCTTTTTGGCACGAAATTATACTATTAAGTAACTACATTATGACAATTAATTGATATCGTAGTATCATGCCCCCAATTTCAACATAGTTGACATTAAAATAGACAAATAGTTTGTTCTCAGTGGTAGTAGGCAGGCGTGAAACTGTTTCGCTGAAGGTCTAGTTGGTCAAAGCATCATTACAATTGCTGATCGTTGATTTGCATTGTGTAAATGACATAATCCTGATTCTCAAATCGTTGGAATATTATCCCCAGCGTTTTTGTGTAACTTATGTATGATGCATCTATTTTATTAAGTGGAAATAAAATTGCAACAAAACTTCTATGGTTTGACTTCAACTTTGTATTTGCAGTCATATGCCAGTGAGTCTAGTCATATATGTCTCATTGCTGCAGATTGTAAACTGGCGAACACATCTAAAGTTTCCGGAAGAGGCAAAACTATCACCTGAAGCAAATGATCTTATTTGTAGACTTCTATGCAATGTTGAACAAAGGCTTGGAACAAAAGGTGCTCATGAAATTAAGGTATTTAATATTTTTGATTCAACATATAATCTTATTGAAGCTTTTGCACGCGAAAATATTAGAAGTTGATATTTTTCTTCTTGAGCACTAAATTTCAGGCTCACCCATGGTTCAATGGAGTTGACTGGGATAAGCTGTATACAATGAAAGCTGCATTTATTCCAGAAGTTAATGATGAATTGGACACTCAAAATTTTGAGAAGTTTGAAGAGGTCAATTTATCAATATTTGATGATATATGCTTATTGATATTTTCTGTTATTTAGTTCCTAATCATTTGATATGCTGTCATGTCTGGCTGCTTTCAGGGTGATAATCAAATGCCAACTGCAATGAAATCAGGTCCATGGAGGAAGGTAAGTGTGCCTTGGATGGGATTAGAGTTCAATCAACATGTAGCTTTGGAGAGAATTATACGCTCTCTTCTCTTATGGTCTTTAGTTAAACTAATATGGGCCATTGCTTGCTCAATACTAGAGTGAACCAAGTTCAAGTCACATAAGTTTTGAAATAGGTTCGTATAAATTTGAAAAAATAGGCATCCAGTTAGGTGGTCTGGGTATGAACATTGTCTCGCAGATCAGTGCTGGGATACCCTCAAGGGGTCAGTTTGGACGGGGGGGGGGGGGGGGGGTCTTGAAGGGGAGGATTTTGAAGTGCTCCAAAACCCTCCATTCAAAGTTTCAAGCTAAACGGAAGAGATTTGAGTTGAATTTTGTTCATTTGAAGAACACATAATCTGGTCACCATTGTCCATATTATGCTAGCTAATTCTGTAAGTTCCTTCTTATGTCTGAGTCGTCTTACTTTTCCACTCACTTTTCTGTGTAGATGCTTTCTTCCAAAGATGTCAACTTTATGGGTTATACATACAAAAACTTTGAAATATTGAATGACAATGACGTCCCTGGAATTGGTATGTAGTCCATTCTTTTGCTCCTATATATGAATAATACGGACTCTTTTCATTTTCCATGAACAATTTCACCTCTTCTCTTTTCCCTCTACTATCTTCCAACTCCCATAGTCTTCCTTGCAAATTCTGTAAATAAGTAAAATTTGCTCTTAATGCTTTTCCTATTTTCAGCTGACCTGAAGAAGAAGAGCACTAAACCTAAGAGGCCAACTGTGAAATCTCTATTCAGTAGGAATTCTGTCCCACTTTAAACTCATTATTATCCATACACAACTGTTATGATAAAAAAATTCCCAGCATTCATCTTACACTATTAGTTCTTTCTCATATTTGGTCATCTATTTTTATTATTCTTTCCAACTATCAGTTTATTTTGTATCTTTTGGTTTTTTCTGGCCACTTATCTGGCAAAAACTAGTCGGAAGTCGTGAGAGAATTGGCCAAGTAAGTGGTCAGAAGGACTAATAGTGGCAAGTAATATGTAGTCGTGCATCAAAAGTTGAAGAAGTAAAAGTGAGGAACCAAATTTACATATAGTAAAACATTACATCCTAGTGTTGCACTTTCTGGCTTTCTAAAGATCCAAGTAAAGCTTATAAAGTCAACATAGAATAGGATTTTATGATGTATCATAATTTTAAAAACCTATTTTAGCATTTATGGCATCACATACAAGTTAAGAAGAGATGTTGAATTTTACATGATTTCAGAGGAAGATTCTAATTCTGGTTCTGCCAAACCAACTCAAGGCAGTTTCCTAAATCTGCTGCCACCACAGTTAGAAGTTTCCAAAGAGGGTGAATCAGAATCTTTCTAACTTTTCTGACAGTCAGGCGAACTATATTCAGTTACGCATATCATATAGAGCATCATACTGATCTTAATTAATCTTTTGTAAGTATTTCAAGGGAAAAAGGTCGTTTGTGTTATAAGTCTGTACTCGTGTGGGTTCTTAGTGTCCTTTAACTGTGTAAATTATTCTTGAAGTGCAAATAACATTTTTAAAAGGTAATTTGTGTTATTCCCCAGTCTTTTTGGTTTGTTTTTAGTAATTTAAGTTTCCACTGGGAAGTCCCAGTCAATCAATTTGTATTGCCGAACACACTGATTCTCTTGGCAAGCATTTGAGTTGGTTTCATTAATGTGTTATAGTCACTTGTGACTTTGGGTTTCAAGTGATGCTTTTATTACTAATCTTTTGCAAATCGCAACTGCACTCAAGTTAGTATAGAGCTTCTTTCATAAAAAAATGTTCTTATATAGTTATATGTTCTGTTATCTCAATAAACTTAATTCCCCTTTAATATTCTGTGTTCGAATTTCATTTAAAGTTCCATAAAACATGTATAGTTTCTAAATATGTAAATGTTGATTGTTGATCCATTTGTTTTGTTTATGTACATTATCTCAATTCTATACTCCCTCCAAGGGTACCGTTCAAACAAAAATAGTGCTTAATGCAAAAAATATGAATCTCCACTTTTATTTTGCTACATTGTAATATTGTATCTTAACATTCAATTGATACATTCTATTGCAGACTTGCAGTGATGAAAGGTTTGCTTATTTACAAAATTATCGATGCGTTTTTTAAAATTGGTGAATATTTTTTCACCAAAAAATGCAGTGATTCAGCATATTTATGCAACCTAACAAAGTGAATACAAGATTTACGTTGTACATGTTAAACCCATTTTATCCAGACCAAATTACACACACATCACTTAAGTAATTACCAACATAAAGTAATTTTTGTGGACAAAAATGTGATTAAAGCGACAATGGATGCATTTTTATCGTCAATGGGACTCAATGCGATAATTAGGTATTATTTTTAAAAGAAAATTTATTCATACATTAGGTATTATTTTTAAAAAGGTTTGTTACAATATTAAAGGAATAAAATAGTATACCTTGACCGCACCTATAGTCCTATGTCCCTAAAATTCATCCCTGATTTATGATAAAAGGAGTTAGTTGCATTTTATCATCTAATGTATTTATGTTGTAATTGTGTGTAGATGTAATTGCGTCATTGTGTTATTGTGTATATTTGACTTTCTCTTTTACCCGTTCAAAAGATCTAAATACATTCTTTATGAATATTTAAAACTGGTTTGATACTCTACTTACCTCTTTATATTGTTGTGTTCTACGTATTAGACAACGTATTGAGGTGGTTCATTAAAGCATATTATTATATTGAAATCACAGATACTATATAATCCATAATTAATAAAAACAAAGTACGAATAGAAAAGAAAGTCCATGCAAATTATGTATGTTCCAATGTCTACCCGTTGCTCTCACACAGGTCATTGGTGATTTTTTTTCTCTTTACTAGACAAGATAGAAGAAAATGGTACACATCACTATGTGGAACTGGTGGAAGTATATTACTCCCTATATTTCATGCACGTGGACTTATTTTTTGTTTATAGTTCTACTCCTAAATGTGAGGAAAAGAAAATGCTTTCCCATTGTTTATACTAAAAACTAGTTGAATAATTGATTTATAAAATATGAACAGAATGAATCGGGGTACGTAAAAGAACAAGAGTTGAATATTGAATACTCAGGTGATCGATAATTGATTAATTGCATAAGATCGATATATGGTAATGTAATATGTGAATTTGATAGAACGTGTGCTACAAAAGAGTTGCTTCTACTCAGGTTTTCCAATTTCTTGATTATTTTTACTCTCCTCTCGCCGTATTCGGAAAACAGTTGATCGTCTCTATCCTTCCGTTATTTGGAAATCAAATTGGTTGTTCTCGTCTAGTGGCAAATTGGTTATTGAGTGACAAAATGCAAGGATTGAAACTACGTCCGTTTCAGGGATACACTTTTGGATGATTTGATCTTGCAATATTTCCATGGATAATGTTCATCTCACACATGTTTAGCGTCTGGAGTATATCCCATTGGGATTTAGACAACTGTGGATGGAATTTGTCAGAAACAAGAAAGTTCACTAGATTGACGTACCATGATTGCACAACTTTTATGGATAAAAGAGTTTCGTCCTAAAACTCACCCTTTATGAGATTTGTGCAATTGCTATCAATGTCATTGTTGAGAACTAAGCGGCTTAGATGATCGACCACTAACTTTCCAACTCATTTCTTGTCTTTGATCCCCACATCGAATTCGCTCAAAAGAAGCACCCATCTGATTAGTCTTAGTTTGGCTTCTTTCTTTGGCCCTGGGAGTTGGAGGACAACATCGCCGATGTATACCATTACTTTCGTCCCAACAAGGTAGGAACGAAAAATTTCCAATACAAAGACCACCGCTACCATCTCTTTCTTGGTGGTGGAATAGTTCTTTTGTGCTTCATTGAGAGTTGAGGAGGTGTAGTAGATGACATGAACAACTCCCAATTTTCTGGCTTAGAACTACTCCCACTGCATAGTCATTTGCGTCGCACATGATCTAAAAAGAAATAAACCAAACGAGAGCTTACATTATTGGAGCAATCACCAGTTTTGCTTTTAGCTTGTTAAAAGTCTCCTTGCATTCATCATTGAAATCAAAATCCACCTCCTTTTGTATAAGTTTGCATATGGAGATGAGATTTTGGAGTCTTGGATTAATCTTGTATAGAAATCGGCATGCCCAAGGAAAGAGCGGATCTCCCGTACATTTGTTAGATACGGGAGTGTTTGAATCACATCAATCTCATGTCCTAGAACAATTCCTTGTTACACCATGAAGTGAAATTTCTCAGAATAGAGAATAAGGTTGGACTCGATGCAGATTTTAAGAACAAGAGTGAGATGATAAATGCGACTATCAAAACTCTCAAATGAGTCTCCATCGATTGTGAAGTCATCCATGAATACCTCCATAAAGATCTTAACATGTTATGAAAATATGTTAATCATACATCTTTGTAAAGTTCCCAGTGAATTGCATAATCCAAACGGCATTTGGCAATGCGCAAAGGTACCTAATGAACATGTGAAGGTGGATCTCTTGATCCTTCGGAAGAGAACCTTCGGGAATATAGGTATGTGAAAACACCCGGAGTAGCTATCAAGAAAGCAATAATATTTGTGTTAACGTTTGGGTTAACAGCCTGGCCAAACAAAAAGCGGCCAACAAAACCCCACAAAAGCGACTAATATTGACCAAAAACGATACGAATCAACCAAAATTGACTAAGTTTTGCGCCCCGATTTTCGGTTTCATCTATTCTATAAGTCGCTAAAACCGACCAACTAAAAATCGAAACCGACCAAAATCGACTAAGATCGAACCGATAAAACCGAACCCAATGAAACGGAATTAACGAACACCCCTAGTAATACTTGAGCTTGGTCAAAACTCAAAACTACGTAGTACAAGTTTATCTCATTTTTATACCAGCTTTTTGGTCAATAATATACTAGGAGCCCGTTTGGTAGCACCAAAATCGGCTGTTTTGGCTGATTCTGCTGAAATTTATGATATTCTGGTTGGAGTGGCTGTTTTGGCTGATTCTGCTGATTTAAGAAAAAAATATTTAAAAAATATATTTTATTAATAAATTAAAGAAAAAATTATATGTAAAAATAGCTAAAATGGCCCTCTACAGTAACTTCAGCCAATACAGCCAGAAAAGTAACTTCAACCTTACTTTTTCGGCTTATTACACAATTCAGCGCGCGAAAGTAAAAGTTACGTGTTTGGTGAAAAAGCTGGCTGATAAGCCTGATAAGCCGAAAACAGAGTTTTCCAAACGGGCTCTAGAATTTCTTTCGCAAAACGCGTTGAAAGATGATTTTAGCAAGTCGAAAAACACAAACACTATCTATAGTATCCTAATTTTGTTTAATTTTTCTGGAGACAGTATCGTATAGTAAAACATGTACACCGTACACTGTAATAAAAGGTGATTGAAATCACCAAACAGTCCCTACATAATTAGGACGGAGCAAGAAGAAGAAGGTCAAATTGGACTAACAATTACAGGGACAGCAATCCATTTCTTTACCTTTGTGTCAATCTCCTCCATCTCTTCTCATCCGCTCTATCATCCTTTATACCAAACAAAGAGAGAAGAAAGAAATCCTGGGCAGTCCCCCCCGTGGATTTCTACTCCTTAGATTCTCTCTCTAACCTTCTTTCTCGTTCCATCTCTCTCTATACTCTCAATTGTATGGTACTATCATTTTACCCTTTATATTTCTCACCCTTTCTTCCTCTGTGTAACCCAACCCCTGTCTTCATTTCCAGCCTGTAGACCCAGATTTGGGCTATCTCTCGATGATGGCATGATTCTGGGTTTGCTTCCAATAACTTCTTGATCCATCCGTTTATTTTTTCTGTATATTTTTCTCTCTGGATAAGAGACAGGCTTTACTTATTTCATTCAGGGTGGGGGTGTGCAGATAGACATTTGTTATTGTTTCAAGAATCAAGAATTGATTTTTGAATTTAGGTTTTTGGATATCTATATTGTTTGAGGAAAAAGGGGGAACCTGGGAAATATTTTATTGGCAGTTGGACCTTTTTCTGGATCTGGTGGTAGTAGGTGGAAGATTTGTTCTTCTGGACGGTATCCTCGCTGTGATGTGAAATTGGGTCGAGGGAAAATCGAAAAAGATCATACCTTTGGCGGCTTTAGTTGTTCTTGTTTCGGAAATTGAATATGGAGCATATGATCGGTGGAAAGTTCAAGCTAGGCCGTAAGATTGGTGGTGGATCTTTCGGGGAGCTTTTCCTGGGTAATGTATTTGTCTGATTTCTGAATTGTATGATTAGCTAGTTATAGTGGTGCTTATTGAAAATATTTTTTTTTGTTTCAGGAACAAATATACAAACTGGAGAAGAAGTTGCTGTGAAACTGGTGAGTATTGGATTTCAAAGCAGCTAAGAGTTCTTTCTACATATGTGTAATTGTGTATAGAAATGGATTGCAATAATTTGCATTTCCAAGTCTTCTTGTCTGCCCTGTCAAAAGATAAAATCTTGATCACAACAATACAGTTGTTCCGTGTTTTCGTAATCTTAGGGCCCGTGTAAATGTTACTCCGTATTTGGCAAAAATACCTCAACTTCTGAAAGAAATAGCCTTTTGTCACATTCGTTTCAGCTAGTTAAGTGAAAAGCTATTTGTTCATATTTTGCAAGTGTATGTAAGCTAACCCACATTTAGCTACATTAAGAACTAAATACATCTTTGACGAGACTTTGTATTAGTGAATAGTGGGCCTTGATTAGGTATTCTGTGATTAGTTGTACTATTTTATTAAATGCCAAAAATGGTTTTATTTACTATTTCCCCATCTTGATGCTATATTTAGTCTGTATTGAATTCTTTTTGCTTCCCAGGAACCAGTTAAAACTAAACATCCCCAGCTTCATTATGAATCAAAGCTCTATATGCTTCTACAGGGTGGAAGTGAGTGTAATTTATTTATTTAGTTTTCTTTGTGTGTGTATGTGTGTGTGTATATATATATATATATATATATATATATATATATATATATATATTTGAGGTGATGTGTTTTGCATTAATGTGACATGTTTTATTTATATATCTATCCTTTGAAGCTGGAATTCCTCATCTCAAGTGGTTTGGAGTTGAAGGAGATTACAATGCCATGGTGATTGACTTGCTTGGGCCAAGTTTGGAAGACTTATTTAACTATTGCAACAGAAAGTTTTCCTTGAAAACTGTGCTAATGCTTGCAGATCAATTGGTCAGTATGTCACAGCCCATATAAGTGAAGCGAATTAAGTCTGATTATTTATATTCAGGCTTCTTGTTGAATTTTTAAATTGTTATTGTTATGTTCAGCTTAATAGGGTGGAATATATGCACTCAAGAGGATTTCTTCACCGCGATATAAAGCCTGATAACTTCTTAATGGGCTTAGGGCGTAAGGCAAACCAGGTATATTTATATAGGAATATTTTTTTGCCTCATTGTTATCTGTTAAATCCATAAAAGTTAAAGTCCTGGTATAATCCAGTTTATAGTGGAGTAACTTGAAATGTGTATATTAGTTCATGGGTGAATATAACTAACTATAAACTTAAGACTCAATATTATTTGTTAGACTGAGACATCATTAGTTTGGGTTTGTGGGACAGAATTTGTAGTGTTAATTAATTTTATAAAATCACATAATACTGTACATTCATGCAAAAAGTAACATCAATATTATATTTAAGACAAAATGTTCAAGTTTAAGCAACTTACGTAAATGAAAATACATCACAATCCCTTTACCCATCAAAAACTTTATATTTCATCTTTTCAATAAATGTAATTAAACAATCATTCATCACATTCAATATGGAACTGCATTAAAAATTTCAAGGATAGCTTTGAAATCCCACTTTTGACATATGTACATAAGCATGTTCCTCTGTATGATTGGGATGCTTATTAAAGAAATTGTAGTTTGTATCAAAGTGGGAAGCTTAAATCCTTAAACTAAAAACTCATGAGATCATAAAATGTTAATACCAGAGCTAGATTTTTACTATTCTCTTACAAAACCAATTTCTTTTATAACAGGTATATATTATTGACTATGGTCTTGCCAAAAAGTTTAGGGACCTCCAAACTCATAAGCACATACCTTACAGGTTAGTGAGTCACACATGTCATTTGCTATTATATTTCTTTTTTATATTGTGAAACTCGAATGTTAATTATAACTTCTTCCCCATCCTTTTGTAATTGTTTGTCCATCATAGCTAATTATTAATCTGTTACAGGGAAAACAAGAACTTAACAGGCACAGCTCGTTATGCTAGTGTTAACACCCATCGTGGAATTGGTAAGTGAAGATATTAATTTTAAACACATATTTCTTCGCTTTTGTTTCCATCATTTGCAATGGAGCCAAAGATTCATTATTTTTTGGCTTGAGAATATGATGGAATAAAGCAAAATGGCTCACTAAACTGTCTGCGCTTCTTTATTATGAAGCAGCAGTAAGTCCATGCAATTTTGGACGCGATTTTCACTATGGGTCATCCGGAAACAGTCTCTCTGTGCTTTAGTACATGGGTAAGACTGCGTACATCCGACCCCCCTTACCCCACCATAGGTGGGAGTCTTTGCGGCACTGGGGTAAATGAAAATGAAAAAAATGAATGAAAATGATTTCTTCGCTTTTTTTCAAATTATTAACTCTCTATTTTTTTGCAGAGCAAAGCAGAAGAGATGATCTAGAGTCTCTTGGTTATGTGCTTATGTATTTTTTGAGGGGGAGGTTTGTCAATACATATACCAATTCAGTTTTATTTTATTTTTATTTTTGAAACATGATCTATAACTTTGTAAATATACCTATTTTAAAAAATATATTTGGTTCCTCTTATCATAGCCTTCCCTGGCAAGGACTGAAAGCTGGAACTAAGAAGCAGAAATATGACAAGATTAGTGAGAAGAAAATGCTTACTCCTGTCGAGGTACTTAGGGCTATACTTCTATTCCCTGACCTTAATGCCCTCGTCCCATCCATAAAATCAATAACATTGATTAATACTATGTTGACCAACCAAATGCAGGTTCTTTGCAAATCCTATCCATCAGAATTTATATCTTATTTTCATTATTGCCGGTCACTGAGGTTTGATGACAAGCCGGACTACTCATACCTTAAGAGACTTTTCCGTGACCTTTTCATTAGAGAAGGTAAATTTGTATCTTCAATCTAAAAATTCAAATCCTCAATCATTGGAATGCTCTTTCTTTACATTTCTTTTAGTACTTTTTAATTTGGTTGGGTTTGCTAATTCTTTTGGTACATTGAATGGGAGGTTGAATGTAAATATACCTCCTTAGTCCGGAAATAATTTAAATTCTAGGCATTCTCACACAAGTCAAGGATTCACATAAAAGATGTATTTACCCTTATTTATAATGTCTTATGAGGCTCTCTTTGTTATTAACAATTCTTAGAAATTCTTTCAAGGATGTTACCTTTTTATCTCAAAGTGGATTTAAAATATTTTGTTATCTCGAGGGGAAACTTGATAAACATTCATGTTTCCATAGCTTATTTTGCAATTACTAATTATTTGAAGGAACTTAGGGAAGAAGCATGAAATATTATATTGAGTGCCAAAAATAACAATGGCTTGGGACAAAGTTTTCAAAGCTAAATACATAATTTTTTCTTGTAAATACCTCGATTCTAACCCAATTAGTCATTAAACAATTACGACATCCATTTTCTCTAGGTTGTAATTATTGTTTGGTTTGATTTTGAGTTTTTGTTTTACATATTGTCAACATTTTTCATCTCTGGTGCAGGCTATCAGTTTGACTATGTGTTTGATTGGACGATATTGAAATATCCCCAGATTGGTTCCAGCTCTAGAGGAAGAGTTCGTTTCTTTCCTTTGCTATATCCCTAATTGCTTTCTTCATTTTTTCGGCGTCTCTTCCTTATTATGGAAAAATTAAAAAAATAAATTTAAAGATCTATTTTATCTCTTTACTTTTGTTTTCAGCAACCAGTTGGGAGATTGTCTTTGAATCCAGGAGCACCAGCTGAAAGAGCAGAGAAGACCCCGGGTATTTATTAGAATATCTCAGTGCATCGTACATATTTAATTTTTTATTTCTAAATAAATACTCCGTATATACTTATTATTTATGTATTGATGCATCTGGCATGCATTGTAAAACTGCATATTTTGGGTCTCTTTTCTTTTTTATGCCCATGAAAAGCAATTCATGCCTTTTTATTTGGATGCGCTAGGGCTAGTCTGGTCATTTTATCAAAAATTTAACCATATAAAGAAAAATATGGTTTGTTTTGAAACGACCACAAAAGCAAGTTGGAAGAGATGGAGAGTATTTATTTGTTGTTTTCACTTTTCAGAATCATTACCTAGACAATTTCAAACCCTTGTCTATTTTTTTAACTAACAGTGAGGCAGGAAGGGCTGAACAAGTTTGCCGGTGCAGTTGAGGCATTTACTCGAAGGAACAACTCCGGAACTGGTTTGCATGGAGGTGATTATTCGCGGCACAAAATTTCAGAGCATATCCCGTCTTCCAAAGATGTGGTGAGTGGGAATGGTTTGACATATTCCCCCCTCCCAAATACCGTTGTAGGTAGCAATTTTAGTCGAAGCTAACTTTTTTGCGAAAAGAAATACTATCATTGGTTGTATTCTTTGGTGGTGGTTTTTAGTGTTGCTCCAACAACAGCTTGGGATTAAAACCCTCTCTAAGAGTACCAACTACCAACTGCTTGCAAAAGTAATAAATTGAGGGACTAAAATGAGTCAACTCTCAATTTAGTTCTGCATCTATAAACCATTACTTTATGTGTTCATTGACTTTCCTTTTGACTCTATTAGGTCATAGACTTTCTTTTGGACTCTATTAGGTCATTGACTTTCTTTTGGACTCTATTTGGTCCTTGAATATGCAACTTAGATTCCAGTTAGTCCTCGCACATTTTTCTTTAACTAAAAGGATTGTCTTTTGTCATCATTTCCAATGACTCACTATTTTTTGACTTAGGAATATGATGAAATAAAGCAAAATAGCTCACTAAACTCTCTGTGCTTGCTTCTTTCTTATGAAGCAGTAGTCAGTCTATGCAATTTTTGACGTGATTTTCATCATTGGTCATCCGGAAACTGTTTTTTTATGTTTTAGTACAAGGGTAAGGCTGTGTGCTTCCGACTCCCTTACCCCATCGTAGGTGGGGGAGCCTTTGCGGCATTGGGGTAATGCTGTTGTTTTGTAAAAGGAGTGTCTTTGTATGTTGATGCCTAAGTTGAGTCTGAATACGTAGTTAAGGATCAATTAGAGACCTAAACTCTATATATGTTAGTGATGGTTTTGAAGAGTGAATTGCTCCTTAACGACACAGTCGAGGGCCAATTTGAGTCCTAATTTGGATCAAAATGTAATACAACAACATCCAAGCCTTAGTCTCAAAAGATTTTGGGGTTGAAAATGTACCAAGTGGACTAAAATACCCTTTTTAATTTAGATTCAAATATGTATGTGGGCTAGATTTGATCTCAATTTCGTAGTCGATGACCAAACTAAAAATAAAAAATTGGACAGCAAATTATGTACCCCTCCATTCTTAATTTGTTGTCTCACTCAGATTACAGGCTTCACTATGGATAATTTATTTGTTCCTACCTAAAAGAGAGCTGAGTGGCTGCAGAATAGTGAACTAGACAAGTAATTCGGAAAAGATGAAGCTTTAGTGTATATTGGAGGGTCAAGATTGGTGGTGGTATTAACTAGACAACTAAAATACCATAATTAGAGGACTAAGCTATCACCCTATTCTCTTATTTTCCATCCTTTCATTATCATTAGTTATATTTCTGCACTTTTTCTGTATCTCAGCAAGCTGATACTACTGATAGAGGAGGGCGTGTTTCACGGACGGGTAGCACTTCAAGGAGGGGGGTAGTGTCAAGTAGCAGGCCAAGCTCGTCGGGCGAGCCCAACATTGAGACCCGTACTGGACGGCTGGGGTCCAGCAGCGGGCGGCTAACCTCCTCTACCCATAGATTGCATCATCATCCCACTGTTGAGTCCAAGTCATCATCTTTCACCCGAACCGGTAACACTTCTAGAGGCGGTGGGCGTGATGACACCCTCCGAAGCTTTGAGCTTCTTACCATCGGCACTGGGCGAAGGAAATAAACCCGAACAAACTTTTTACTGGGCAGACGGGTACCCGAGTTGATTTTCAAGGGAATCAGTGTATATCTGAAATGGGTCACTCCATATTTCCAAGAGCCATCAACCATTTATCTTCTTCCCATATAATTCATTCCTTCATTGTAAAATCTACCAGGAATGGGGTTAAAATGTCAGCCTCCAGGAAATCAAAGGAAAATCTGTGTTTAAAGAGAACAATTTTTGAAGTCTCATTGTTCTACTACAGAAGTATTTCTTATATGTCATTTGAACCCCTATTTATTGTATTTGCCTAATGCTGGAAACTACTAAATTTCAAACTTTTCACCTTTTGGACCACAAGTTTTCCTCTACTTTTGTATCCCAGTATCCCACATTGGAAGTATGAGGTCTAATAGCTCAAAGGCTGGCTCGCTTTGTTGTTGAAAAATGCTAAGTTTTGTGTACACGTCATACATTTTGTGTGCTGTATCAGCGGCAATTCGTCTGAAAATGCAGAAGTTATGTAGTTTTTTGTTAAATGTTGGTGATACACACTAAACATGGGTGTTTAGTGCATGGGTGTTTGTTGTTATAGTTTGTAGTCTCTTTGTACCAAAGATTGCCCATCACGTCTTTTTCCCGGTCGGAATGTTGGAGTAGCAAACTACCCACATAGCGATGGCTGACTGGCCGTGGCTGTGGCCGTGAAAGAGATTTAAGCTCTAATTGTGGGGTTAGTGATTGATTGTCTTATATGAATATATTGCATTATCCGCTTCTCTCAATAAATTTTGCTAGTTACTGTTAGCAGTGGTTGGTTAATCATGTTATTTCTTCATGACAATATTGACATTAAAAGTTTTATTTGATTAGGAAGAAAGAAGATGTGATTGCATGAACATTTAATTGATTAGAGGCATAGGTGGGGGACGGGTTTGGCGGGTCATGGTCAATCAAAATGTAAAAAAATATTTTTAATGTAGAGAAAAAGGGAAAATAAGCTTTTGAATATTCACAAATTTGCAATTGAGTCCCATAATCAATTGACCCGATAAACATACATGTTAATCTGTAAAAATGTTGCAACTGGCCCCTAGCTATCTGTTTCTTTCGTTCACTATTCATTTTCTCCTTTTCTTCTTCTTCTTTTGTTATTTCTTCATGGTGGAAGATTGAATATGAATTTCCCAAATCGTAACTATTGGATGATAAGTGTGTTACTTGGTTAGCTGAGTTCTACAAGAGCATCATTATCCCTAATTCTATTGCTCATGGGTCAATAATACGAAAAACATGCTCCCTCTATCTCATAGAAAAAGATTCTTATTTTCTTTTTGGACGTCCCATATAAAGTTTTTTTAATGGTAAATTAACCATTAAATATTAAAAATAATACATTTATAACATCACAGTTATCAACACTAACCCCATTATTTATACATCTATTAAAATTATTTTTCAAAATATACTCAAACTACCTTATTTAATTAGCGCCTAAATAACTGTGTCGTTTTATAATAAGAACCTCTCAATGGGACATGGATAGTACATTATTTGAACTCACGGTTATATAATTTTAAAATAGTTACTGTACCACTAACCACTTCTTCCTCCCGGTCGGTTAACTAGTTACTAAACATACCAAATTAGTTAGAATTACTACACATATATTACCGTACTAAGTAGTACTTCATTCGTGCCTTAAAAGATTGTCATTTCCCAAGTTAGGATCATGATTTTAATTAGTACTAGTATAATATTAAAGAAGTTAAAACTTTTATACTTATATGAAAATAAGTTTTTTGACACTTTTATATCATATTTACGTTATAAATAATCTCCAATATTAACATATAATTGGTCAAAATTTCAAAAAATGACAAAATTTTAATGGGTGCAGTTAGTGGTGGACCTGGTTCGGGCTGCCCGGCCCGGGACTGGCCCGGCCCGTTACTGTGCAGGCCCGGTTCTCGGGTTCGGGTCCCGTTCGGGCACCGAATCAGTGGGGGTGGCGGGTCTGGGCTCGGGGCTTGTTTTTGGCGGCCCGGCCCGGGCCTAACGGTCTAATTTTTTTTAAAAAAAAATTCCATTTAATTTTAAAACTCCTTTTGGGCTCTTGACCCACTTCCCAAACGGCTATATAGCCGTTGGGTGGGTATCAGGGGGGTCCGGGGCCTTTGGGGGGTGGGGTTAAAAAAAACCTATAAATACTCCTAATTTTAAACATTGTTTCACACCTCTTCTCCAACTCTTCCTAAATCCTACTCTCTACTCATCTCCATATTCATCTTCTCAAATTTTTTTATTCTCCATTATATTTTATTTTACTATTTAATACTTATACAATTATTACATCTACTTATATATTAATTATCTACTTATAAATACTTATACTATATTACTTATATTTCTTATCTACTTAATCTCTACTTATATCTCTTAATACATACATACATACTACATCTACTTAATATATACTTTATATATTAAAGTATTAAATATACTTTATAAAATATTAGTATATACTTAATGCATAATAATATCTACTTCTCTACTTATATTTCATATATACTTATTTTTTTATTCTCCAATCTCCAATTCTCCATTATACTCTAATATTTAATTCTTATACAATTATTATATCCACTTAATACATACATTCTACATCTACTAAATATATAGTTTATATATTAAAGTATAAAATATAAGTGTATTACTCATCTTATAGTAGTATACTTATATATTATATACTATAAACATTATATTATATATTAGTTACACTTTAATTAATATCACTTAAAATAATTCTATTACCCATTTACTCCTATTAATTACTATACACATTCATACATTTGTCTTATTAGTTACATTTTTTATTAACATTACTTGATTAGTTAATTAGTATTCCCACTAATTGTTACATTTTTCATTATACTAGTTAATTAGTTCATTAGCATTCTTGTTACATTTTTCATTATACTAGTTAATTAGTTCATTAGTATTCTTGTTACATTTTTCATTATACTAGTTAATTAGTTAATTAGTATTCTTGTTACATTTTTCATTATACTAGTTAATTAGTTAATTAGTATTCTTGTTGCATTTTTCATCATACCAGTTAATTAGTTAATTAGTATTCTTGTTACATTTTTCATTATACTAGTTAATTAGTTAATTAGTATTCCCATTAATTGCTAAAACAACTCTACTTCAAAAAACTAGTTAATTGTCATTATAGTTAAAGTCACATTATAATAGTTTCAATTTATATTTGAATGAAAAAATAGTAGTTCAATCATTTAATTAAAGTACTTAACATTTTATTTAAGTAGTTTTTACTAAATTAAAATACTTGAAAAGTTGCTATAATTTTAATTTTAGAGTCACACATTAATTCTAGTTTGCACTAAATTAGCTTGAAGTATTAATTAAAAGTTTTAATTAGTTGCATTACTCTTGTATTCATTATTATATTTGTTGCCAATTAATATTTGTTACATTTTTAAGATGGAAGGTGGTAGATATTCGGTTGATTTGGTTAACCTCGAGCGCAATCGAAGGAACGAGATTGGGAGGAAGAAATCCCGCAAAGGTAAAGAACTTGTCGGCTCTTCATCTCAAAGCTGAGATGATTTTGAAACGGGTTACCAAAGGATCGGAGAGATGGAGATGCAATGTCCGAAGAACAACTACAACAAGAATTGGCCCGACATAATAACCGCTTTCTACAACAACAACAAATCCCGACGACCATTGACGAAGAGGAGCTTGAGGATGAAGATGCGGAGGAAACGGAACCGGAGACGGCCGAGGAGGAGGGTGTCGGCAGCCACGACGCCGACGAGCCTGCCTCATCCCAAACCGCCACCGGTAATAAAAAAAAGTAAATCTGAACTAATGAAAAATAATTTTGATAAGTGGAAGGACCCACAAACCGGCTAATGGCACGCAACTTGCAAGTGGTGCAACAACAATCATAGCTTGGGGACCTTCGGCGGATACGGATCTGCCGCAAGGCATCTTAAGGCAAAGCACCCCGTGGAGTATGCAAAATTAGGCGGCGGAACGGGGAAGCAAACTCAAATATCGAGGTTTGCGAATTCTCAACCTTTTGGTTATTTCTCCTACAATGATGCGCAAAATTTGACTGGTATGGCTAACTTAATTTGTGAAGAAAATTTGCCTTATATGTTTTCTGAAAGTCTTGCTTTAAGATATTATGCACAAGGTAGTTTAAATCCTCAATTTAGAAGTTATAGTCGCAAAACTGTTAAGAAAGAAATTATAAGGCTTTATAATGCGGAAAAGGCAAGGTTACAAATTTTTTTTGCAAACTTTGATGGGTGTGTTACTATTTGTTCTGACATATGGGAGGATGATTTTCATCATTTATATTATTTGGGTCTCACTGCACATTATATTGATGAGGATTGGAATATGCATAAACGTGTTCTTGCTTTTCGTGAATTTAATGATCGTCACACCGCTGAACATATTTATATTTTGATTGAACGTATTTTAATTGAGTATAATTTGATTGATAAGGTGTTTGCTATTGGTTTCGATAATGCTACTAATAATACTGCTGCTATACCTAGATTGCGTGAATTGTGTGGTGTCGATACTTTGATGGGTAGATTTTTTCATCAACGCTGTGCATGCCATGTTATAAATTTATGTGTGTTAAGAGATGCTATGGAGGTAGTCAAGGGGGGGATTAGACGTATTTGGGGTAATGGTCAACTTAGATTAAAATGGCAAACTTATTTGACTGAAAGGTGTGAGATATGTTGCTTTTCCTAAAGATTTGAGCATTCGTTGGAATAATACTTATAAATTACTTAAAGTTGTTCTTAGATATAAAAAAACATTTTCCTGCTTTTTTAAAACAACATGATAACTATTTTATAAACTCGGCTGAGATCGACACTTGCGAAAAAATTAGTAATGTTTTGATTTTTTTTTTAATACAACTGAAACTTTTAGTCATGTTTATAAACCTACCGCAAACCAATTTATTCGTGAAGATGTTAATCTCGCCGGTGCTTTTAAAGAATTTGAGAATGCCGTTTTTGTGAGTTATTTTTGTGATTATATGAAGGAAAAGTTTTTAAAATATTATGCGCATATTCCCCATATTTATGGTATTGCATTTATTCTCGATCCTCGTTTTAGACTAGCTAATGTGGAAGATTGTTTCAACTCCTATTATCTTGCTTTTTTTTTGGTGAATTTCCAATGTATGACGATAACCCCATAGATCCGAAAACAGAATACAACGAGGTTAGTGCTTTATTTTATGCCTTATTTAATGAGTTTCGTGCACAATATAGCAACGCTCCCCCTCCCCCAACACGAACATATTCATCTAAAGGAAAATCGATTTTTAAATCTGCATTTGGCAATCTTATGAAAAAAACTAAAACAACTCACGTCACTAAACAAAGCGCATTGAATGAGATTACT